GAAATATTTCATGAGATTTTTTCTATAACAGAGCTAGAGATGTGAGGCCAGAATAAACAAGCTTTATAAATTTGGTACGTCTAAAGTGGTAATCTGGATTAACATTCATCTGTAACTCCCTAAAACGAAACTTTTAAAGCTGTACATGTATATCTCCTGAAGGAGTTATATGGACAAAAAGATACATAAACAGAACAGCCAATGTATTTCAAAACCACTTTAGGCATAACTGTACTTAAGTGGACATAACTGACAAAATCAAACGTTATCAACCAGTATTCAAGTATTTACACACGCATGACTTTCAAATGTTTTGGTTTCAGTATCCCTGATGAATGGCAATTGAGATTAACACTTCGAATCCAACAAATTTACATGTTTTACCATGGAAAGAAGTCAGAAATGCATGTTATAAAACATGTCAATGTCGAATCACTGACTACCGGGCTAATGCTACAATCACTAAAAGTCCATTAGCACCGGTAAAATCTACCAAGGGCTCGAAAATGAAATTTACATTTTCATTTTGCATTTAGCTTTGAACTAAGTTTCAGTAACTGTGAGTAATCTTAAATTAGGACTTTTGTTTTTTGTCGATTTATTTAGGCGACAGTAGTTTATAAAAGTTCAATCTCGAAAATAAATTAAGAGAAAAGAGAGAGATAAATCAAAGTAGCAAACAAAAATTGTGGAAATTGCATGAACTCCAAAAGGAGCGAGACCGGGTGTTGGTTATTTTATGTGCTGCACTAACTTGTAATACAGTTGGTGTTTTGATAGCTCATGGCTAAAAACATATGAAAATCATAAAGTATAAACTCTTTTTTTTATACATCCTTGATTTTCAAATATTTGGATTTGGGAGTTCCTGATGAAGGTAAATATAGTAAATCAATAAAAGCGCTTCAGACGCACGAAATATTTAAAGTGTTATTTTAAGCGAGTAGGTAATTGACCAAAAAGGGCCTAAATTGAATAACAAAACAAAAAATGAACTTTGATTGAAGATGTTTGAAACTTAAATTTTTATATGATTTCTTATGTCAAGAACAGGAAATGCAAATTATGTATGCTATAAATCATGTCAGTGCTTAACATTGATTAAGTGGCTGATGAAATCGTTGGGACCTTACAGTCAAACAGCAGCGCAAGCCACTCAGAGCTTAAAAGGGAAAGTAATACGTAATTGCTTCTGAAGCGTCTTTGTGAATTTACCTTCATCAGGAACACGCAAAACAGATAATTACAGAGCTAAACGACCAAAACGCCACTATAAAGCCCATTAAACAGAATATCCAAAATCATTAAAGTCGCATTTTGGTAGTGGGAGTTAAACTTTAATATCTTAATATTTTTTTGTCTCTTCATAAAAACTGACAAATTTAAACGTTATCAATCAGCGGAGAGAAAAACAACTGCCATATTCCCGACTTGGTTTAGGCATTTTCCGAAGAAAATTGTGTGTTAAACCTGGTTTAATAGCCAGCTAAACCTCGCACTTGTATGACATTTGTTTTTTAGTTCCGTTATATTGACAAAATTGGGTGAGCAACCAAAACAGGCATAATAGGTTAATAGGTTAAACGTGACAAAAGGTTGGGCCTGTACCACGGCTACATTGACTATGTTTTTCTAAATTTCTTCCTGCATGGGCCAACAATGAAAAAACAGATTTATAAAAAGATAGCAATCGAAAAAAGTTTCCCCAATCATCAAAGAAAAACTCAGAATTTAATCTGCAGTATTTCATCGAAAGTATAAACGATAACAATGTCTGCAGAATGTTTACTTGATTTAAAGTCGAAAAATTGTGTTGGAATTATTTTCAATTTTTGTTATTCCCCGTACATAATGGCCAACATTTTTGATTTTTGTCTGCTATCTACTATACTTTATGTAACTTCGTCTTGTTTCATTTCATTTCACTGGCCATGTTATTACTAGTGACCTAAACATTGCCAATAACATTGCTCTGCGTTATATGTTATCCAAAGGCCCAAAATATCGTAAGCCTGAAAATGGTGCATTACAATTGGTACCGTTTATGTTATCAATTCATCAGTTCGTAACACAACTTCAAAATACTGGTGGAATCAGTCGGGGATTATGCCAGGCAATTGATTAAACGCGAGAAAGAAGACTCTTTCCGAATGGACTCTGATTTCAGTTTGACTTTGACTAGAAATGATAAAAGTATTTATGGCAATGACTCATACACATTCACTCAGCGACAAATTAAATGCATATCAGGACGAGGTGAGGTCGTTGATACAAATCAGAATTAAAAAACTTAATGGGTCTATGAATACACATGCTACATCAATCTTTAAAGACCCAAATGTTGCAAAGGACCTGTCCTACTTCCATGACAAATATGTTGTCTTCGCAGATAAAGCCCCAAACAACATCGTTTTGTGTGTAAATCACATTAAATAAACTGCTTGCTAAATGAATTACGTATTGACAATTCTCCTGGAAACTCAACATATACCTCATAGACACTTACCAAGGAGGAAGCCCTAGATAATCACAGGTCTGTTCTGTGTTACTTTGGAATTTCAACCAAAGATGAAGAACTGGATCTTCATTCACTGTATTTAATACCTACATACCATTTATCAAGTGTCCTTACAAACAAAGTTATATTGCTGGGTCTTCCAAGTTCTCCACGAATTCTCTTTCTAAATTATTAACATCAAGTTTTTCAGCAATCAAAGCCGTACTTCAAAAATTAATATAGAGGCGGCGTGAATCAGATGTGGATACTTAAAAAAATCCAAAGATCTGTTAGAGTACATAAAATGTAAGACTCTTTCATGTTGCAAAAATATTAAAACATTTGACTTTTCGACACTTTACAAAAGTATTCCCCATTCCCAACTAAAAGACAAATTAAAAGAGTTGGTCCTGCTTTGTTTCATAAAAAGAATGGCCAACGTAGATACAAGTATCTTGTCTTGGACAGGGATAAATCGTATTTCGTAAAAAATCACCTACTAGTATTCAAACCAAAAATTCTCTGAAACTGACATTATCAAGAAGCTTCATTTCTTGATTGACAACATGTTTGTTACGCGTTTATATGTTGTATTTTTCAACAAATAATCGACATTCCCATGGGAACCAACTGTGATCCTCTTTGTGCAGACTTGCTCCTTTATTCATATGAGGCTGACTTCATACAGGAGCTTCTTGGGAAGAATGAAAAGAAGCTAGCATTATCCCTTAACTTAACTTTCCGCTATATAGATGATGTCCTCTCACTAAATAATTCAAAGTTAGGGGACTATGTTGAACGCATCTATCCCATCGAACTTGAAATAAAGGATGCAACAGATACAGTTAAGTCTGTCTCATATTTCGACTTACATCTACAAATTGATAATGAGGGTCAGTTGAGAACAAAACTATACGACAAAAGAGATGATTTCAGCTCCAAATTGTGAACTTGTCATTGTTATGTAGCAACATTCCAGCATCTCCTGCAAATGGAGTATATAGCTCCCAGATGATACGATATTGCAAGGCTTGCATTTCCTATCATGATTTCGTTGACAGAGTGTTGCTGCTCACAAGGAAGCTATTAACCAAGAGTTCCAAGTGGTGAAGTTGAAATCACCTCTTCGAAAATTTTACAGTTATCTCGAATATGACCTACCGAATTAGACTTATCACCTGATTTGTACTTGAAAGAGCAACACGACGGGTGCCACATGTGGAGCAGGATCTGCTAACCCTTCCGGAGCACCTGAGATCACACCGGGTTGTTGGTGGGGTTTGTGTTGCTCAGTCTTCAGTTTTCTTTGCTGTGTTTTGTGTATTGTTTGTCTATTCGTCGTTTTCGTTTGTTGCCATGGCATTGGCAGTTTGTTTTCGACTTTTCGAGTTTGAATACCCCTTCGGTATCTTTCGACTCTCTTCTACAATAAATATCTCTTCAGTGATGCACGAGACCAAAATAATTTATACAAGACTCTGCAACTTGTGTAATTCAATAAAATTGTTTTCTTTGAAAGTATGGTAATGAACAGCTATCCTCTTGTATCTAGATATTTGATATCTAATCAATAAATTGCTTCTTATTGTAATGGAATGTACACCTCACTTCAGTGCTGTGAGTGTACTCATCAAAACAGGTCGAGAAACGTTTCAAATATGGCTAACCATCTAGTAGTTATTGGAATTCGACTGCTCAATCTTTGCCCCAAAATCTAAATTGGTTTAATTTGTAGTAACGTTATAGTTTTTACCTGAAACAATATAACCAAAGCCAAAAAACACTTTCTTAATTCTTGTTAACAATTATAATGACTTCTTTTTGAGGAAATACAAACATTCTTTTCATTAAAAAAAAAAATATGAAAAATAAAATTGATCTATGCCCATTTAAAGTTAAACCTACATAGTCTGAATGATATAAAATATGTTTGGCTGAACAGATGGTTTATGTGTCTTATATAAACCAGATACTAGTGCCTCAATTTTTCATGAGCTACTAAAAACTGTGTATTAGTACGAAAGCCTTTTAAGGATTTTTTTTATTTCCAATGTCTATGTTCTTTCTATTAATCCAGAAAAATTTACAAATTGTAAACCTTTATTTTCACTCATGTATTAGGGTTAGAGAATCTAAATATACTGAAGGTTTATAAATTTTCTATTGCCTGTGGGTGAGACACGAGACATTAAGCAACACTCTTAAGTCTGTTGCATTATCTCCTTAATTTAAAAGCTGTCACTAGTCGAGCAGGAACTACTGACCCTTCCGGAGCACCTGAGTTCACTACTAATTTTAGGAACTGTTTTGTTTTACTCAATCTTCATATGTATGTGTTATGATTACTAGACTATTGTTTGCCTGTTCATCTTTTGCTTTTTGTCATGATATTGTCTGCTATTCTTCCAATTATATTTTGTGGTTACCCTGTTGTATCAGTTCACCATTTTTTTATCTATTTTTCTCCAAAAAACAATATTTCATTCAATGACAAGTAAAATAATGACAGTAAAACATGTTTTATTACGTATTTTACCTAAAATAAAACATGAATAGAGTTATGCATCTTACAGATTGATATAAGGAGTGCCCACACATGAGTTCTTATATACAAGTACATCATGTGTGACATTTCCCTTAAATATGTTTCAAAACGGTCAACCCAGGGATAAATTTTTCCATTTTTATTAAACCTCCAAAGTTTCAACATCGTTCATTGATAATACAATAGGTCTTTACTTTTCTGTAACAAATGTGCAATAACAAAACCAAAATAGACAGTTCCCAACCTTTTGAAAATGATTTAAAATAATCGATCAGAACTTTTCTTCAATAGCATGTTCAACATAACACTGGTGAACTTGCTTTCCAAGTTTGTTGAGTAGTTTGATCATTCCTTTAAAATTAAATGTTTGAAGAAAGTGGGTTGTATGTTTTACATGTTAATAAAGAAGTTTAAAGGTCATTAGTCAAAAACCATAAGGAGCATTGGTTACAAAAAACAGGAACCTTCTTTTCCATGCCTAATTCACATCCCACACATTTGCAAGTCACTCAGAAAAGAACAATATAGATTACATTTAGTTCAGATACTGTGAATTCTTTATTATTTGTAGGATATCAATTTTCGTGGATTTTGTGGTGGGTATATGTGAATCACGAATTTAAATGTTGAACGCAGACCTAAACAAAAGCACAAAATTAAATATCCAAGAAAATATGATTTTCCCTTAGTCCACAAAAATTTGGCACCTGTGAAAATAAATGAATCCACAGTAGGTTATCTATATAATGGTTCCTCATACTTATTAATTAATTATTCCATTTATTAAAAAAAAATTTGTGGGAGATCTAGGTATGAAAGAATTTCAATCTCCCTCTTTTAACCAACATATTTTCTTTTGAGTATTTCTTCATAAATAAACTGGACATACGGTCATAAACGACACCAAAACCAATATTCAAATATAGCTTGACATCCTATCCTTACAAGTTTACTACACTAGAATGGCCCTTACTAATTAAGGATAAAAGAAAACAACATCAAAAGTATTTAAATGAATAATACATTTAAATGAATAATACATAGATAAGTTAAATGATATGTGTTAAAACATTCAGCTGTAGAAATAATGCAAAAAATTGTTAAAATTATATATAATTAGTATTCATTTCATTGATAAAAATTTCATTTTTTTAAAATAAAGTTACACATAAATAATACACAACACAGGCACATAAACATTAAGTTAAAATAATTAAAACTGTCTCCATTTAAAAAATGTTTGAAATATCATCAGAAATAAATATGAAGCTATGAGTAATATTCCATCCAATGAAAATAACACTTTATAAAATATGGTGCGTCCGAAGTGCTTTTCTGGAACACTTAAAACCACTAAAAACCAAAATATTGAAAACAAAGGATGACAAAGATGAACCTTAAATCAATTGCTAAAGACCACCTAAGGTCAACTTTGCCTGAGGAATTGGAATCTTAATTTCTTTATATTTATAGATAAGATATTATAAAACAAAAAATTCAAGAAATGTATGTTATAAGTTTGTCGAAGCACTAAATACTGAAGGTAAATTGAAATTTTCTATATGATCAAGTCTCCTCATATGACATTTTTAATAGGAAAGAAATTAAGTTATTAAAGTTTATATTCATTATCAAAAATTACTTTCAAAATAGGATAAGAGTTCTGTTTAAAACTTAGATGTAAAAATTATTCATGTCAAAACAATATCATATTGAATTACACACCATATGTATCCTACTTCAGTCTTAAACAGAGTCGCTGTGATATAGCCTTTTTGTGCTGATGTGGCATTAAGTAAACAATCAATCCATCTTAAACAGAAATATATACTCATGGAATACCTGAGATTAGAAAACATCATAAATAAAAAAAGTTATGATATTTCACAAGAATTTTTTACCCTTCGTTAATGTGATGAAACAACCTTCATAGTTTTCAATATAGGGTATAATTAACAACTTTGTCTTAAACACCAAAGCTTCACGATAGCACAACTATTTACATTTCAATATTATAATAGAAAACAACTTTTTCATCTAAAATTCAAGTTAATAAAACCTCTTTACATTTAAATATTATGATGAAACAACCTTTCAATATACAAAGTAAAGTATTTCCTCTTTACTCATAAATAATATAATGGAACAACTCTTAAGTAATATACAAAGTAAAGCTATGTAAATAATGAATTAGCACTGATTTAAAAATGGCTATCACATTTGGAAAAATGAAAAATGACAGTATGATCAAGGGACATAACTCTTTATAATGCAATAAATATTGTTTTGCTTCAAACAAACAAATCGAACTGATAGATGAATAGTGTAAAGTATAAATAGCAATTACACTAGTACTTATAATTGAGTTGTTATTGTATACCGATTTCTGACGGTTAACATTTGCTTCAATGAAGGCTTAAATGGTCAAAGTTCGCAGTCAGAACAGTGTCAGTGCATGTTTGAAACTCTGCAAATCAAGGAACTCTCATTTTAAGATAATGACAAGGGACCTAACTCTTTTAAAAAAAAATCTAACAAAAACTAACGAAATTATAGGAATTTTACTGACAAATATGATTTAATTATAGCAATCAAGACCACTACAACTAGTTCCAGTTTGGTAAAAAAAAAAACTTCTTTCAAAATTTATTTTGCAAGATTTTACCTTTAAAACTGGCTTATGAACACTTAAACACAGACCACATGGGGTTCAGACGGAATAAAAAATATAATGTCATGCAAGGACAAACAATTCCTCTTAACAAATCAAATACACTTAACATTAGCACCAGTGATTTTAGTAAAATGGACGGAGCAAAATTGGATTAAAATTTACAACATTCTCAATTTTTCAACATGAAAAATACTACTATTACAGAAAAAATTCAAGGGAAGATAATTTTTCCAATATTTTCTTCATTTGTATCATGAATGAGTATACCCAATACAAATGCAGCTTAAATAAAATGCTCTACAGAAACTATTGTTTACTTTTATCTCAACTCACACTCAAAGATATTTTTGGACTTTTTATGGAAATTTCGTCGACTCTTACAATTATAAGGTATGACAAATGATCAATGTCACTTTTTTATGATTGATTTTCATATAAAGAGTCAATATTTTCACTTTAAAATAATTATATTTTTTTCACATCTCCTAATCATAATTTTTCCCCTTTATAAAGTATCAACCATCTAAAATAATTCTCCCTGTGGTCATCAAAATAAAACAAAGATGACTATTATCTCCCCTTAGATAAGATGGTCAATTATAGATGGTTTTATTCCATATCTAAACAAACACTATATCTCATTTTTAACTGACAATTTCTTTGTCATTCATGAAAAAAAGCTTGCTAAGATCACATTTGAGCTCTAGTTTTGGTGGGTTTTCTCTCATCAAAAAGTATTTTTACTTTTTTTCATCTAAGGAAGACAACTCTTGCTATGTTAAATTTGAACACTGATCTTTACAAAAAAAAATGCTTCTTTGATTTTTGTTGTTAATATCTTTTATATAGTCATGATTTTGACTTTTTTTTTCAATATACAAATCTCCAGAAGTAAGACAGATATCATTGTAATATAAACATCTATCAATGAATAGTCATATCAAGATATACATCAATCCTTTGCAATTTTCGTCATCTTTTCCTAACAGGTGAAGTATGCAATCAGTTTTCATTTTCATTACAACAGAACATCCTCATCATCTTCAAAATTGGGCCGTACTCCAATCCTTCTTGGAGGTGTATTCAACGTGTCTTCAAGGTCTTCTGCAAACCCCCAATTTTTTTGGACTGGCCCTTCATCTGAAAAATTAAAATCATAATTTTAAATATCCAATTTTGAACGTCTTTGTTATATTCATCAATTGCTTAATGACTGATCTAAATCCATGTAAATTCTAATGTTTTAATATTACTCTAAGACATGTTTTTTAACAACTGTTAGAAATCCCCAAGATACAATTATATATTTTATCAGTTAAACTGTCACTCAATCCAGTAAGCAGTACTAAGAATAGATGCATGTGTAAAGATAATCTAGTTAAAGTAAATACAAATGATTGATATCATAACAGTCTTTTCTACATTTTCTTGCACATTAAGGATGTAGTCAGGTCAGGTTTAGGAATTTTTGTCAGATGTTCAGACTCCTTGTGTTTCTTCCTACCATACAGGGTAAAATATTTTGTCCCATATCACCCACTTTTCTTTTCATATAAGACTTCAATAGCTTATAAAAAGGTCAATTCCAAAATTTAAGCAGATTCTAGATTTTTTTTCTAGACCGAAATAATAGTGCCAATGCTAAATATAAGGTAAAAGTCTGAGTCAGCCTTTTCCTGCCATTTTTTAAACATCAAATATCTCAAAAAGGAGATCCATAACCTATCAATATTTTTAGCTTATTTTGTTCCTTAACTAATGCTCTTTTGACTTATGATATCAATTTCAAATTCTAGATTTTTTTAATTTCACCTAACTACATACTTAAGAGTAAAAATAATTTTTAAGAAAGCAATGTTCAATTTCCATCTCTTTATGTGTTATTTCTGCTTTATATTTACTTTCTTTATGAGTGAAATTCCTTTTCAGGTTAAAAAAAATACATCAAAAACGTCTAATTGCAAAAATGAATTGTCTGTTATCTTGAAAACAAGTTCATTCTTCTTATATTATCATTCAACCTGTAATCAGTAATAGAATTTCTGAACTTGAAATCAGCACATCAGAAAAAAATCTGTAAAACTGATCTATCATAATATTTGGTTGAACCTAAGCAACCTTACTTGCTACCCAGAATCTGTTTGAATGAAATTACTTGTTAAAGAAATCAAGCAAATATTATCATCTATAACACAAAAACTTAAAAATAAGTTATTAAATGATTAGAAACATAATTCAAACTTTTCATTTAAGGTGCATATTTTTGTTTTTAAGTCATGTTTTTCCCAAACTTTTAGTAGTGACATTTTTGCAGTCAAAATTAAACAGTGTAAAAAAGTGAAGCAAATAAAAATTCCATTGAGTGAAAAACCAACACAAACATACCAACCACGAGATAATTCAGTATATCTGATAAGTACATCCACTGTTGATTACATAAAAATACCAAATGATAAAAGTAGAATATTAATTTTAGATAATGAAAGTAACCATAAAAATTACAGCTCCTCTTTTAAGTTTCTGCCCGAAAAAGGGCACTATACCGTTAAATTATTGACGGATTCATAGAAGGCTGAATTATATTTGAGATGGTTTTGCTTTAAAATAAAAATAACTGAAAATTATTAAAATTTATATTTATCTGAAAACACCTCCAAGCACCTTCAAAAGTGTCATTCTACTATTTCATACTAAGTAAACTATATGTATATATAATGCATATCACTTCGGCTTATCTGTATTTGTGTAGAAAAATGATTAAGCAGGATGAAATGATAAAAATAAGCAGACAGTTGTACTTACCACTAGACAATACCTCCTTTTTAGGAGAACCCAGTGTCCATGAGAAATCTGTAATGTTAGTATTCCTGAGGGTGTCTCCCATTTCAATTTCTTCATCAGATGGTCCTGTTTTATTTTTCTTTAGATATGCCTTTTTCTTCAGTTTCCTGACTTCAGTTGGATTGGATTCTTTCAAACAAACAAAAAATCAAAATAAACGGAAGTAGAAGCATTAAGAAATAATGAAATGCTCCGCTAGGCCAGCTTGATAATACCGCAGAGGTTGAACCCTGAACAGTTGGGGTAAGTATGGACACAGCATTCAAGCTTGATACAGCACTGAATTTGGATTGTGATTAAATATTTGACACAGCATAGGTTTCTTACACAGAATGAATGTGGTCTAAGAACTTAATTTTTTTTAATTTACCTATTCAAACCATATCATTATTATTTGCTTTTACATATAAATCAGAAATAACCATTTTAAAATGGAAAATTTGAAAGAAAAAAAAAAGGAAAAAAATCCCCCCCCCCTCAAATTTTTTGAACCCCCTTATGATTCATCACCCCCAAACTCAATCCCAGCCTTCCCTTTGTGGTATGGTACCTTGCAGTACAATTTCATAGAGATCCATACACTTGAACACAAGTTATTGTCTGGAAACTAGAAAAATGCTTGTTTTTTGCCCCTTTTTGGCCCCATATTCCTAAACATTTAGGGCAATTACCCACAAACTCAAACCAAGCTTTCCCTTTGTGATATGGAACCTTGTAGTACAATTTCATAAAGATCCATTCACTTACACACAAGTTATTGTCATGAAACTAGAAAAATGCTTGTTTTTTGCCCCTTTTTTGGCCCCTAATTCCTAAAATTTTGAGGCGATTACCCCCAAAATCAATCAAAACATTCCCTTTGTGATATGGAACCTTGCAGTACAATTTCAGAGAGATCCATATACTTGAACACAAGTTATTGTCTGGAAACTAGAAAATTGCTTATTTTTTGCCCCTTTTTGGCCCCTTATTCTTAAACGTTTTGGGCAATTACCCCCAAACTCAATTCCAGCTTTCCCTTTGTGATATGGAACCTTGTAGTACAATTTCAGAAAGATCCATAGACTAACACACAAGTTATTGTCATGAAACTAGAAAAATGCTAGTTTTTTGCCCCTTTTTGGCCCCTAATTCCTAAAATTTTGAGGCAATTACCCCCAAAATCAATCCAAGCATTCCCTTTGTGATATGGAACCTTGTGGTACAATGTCAGAGAGATCCATACACTAACACACAAGTTATGTCTGGAAGTTACAAAAATGCTTATTTTTGGCCCCTAATTCCTTAACTGTTGGTAACATAACCCCCAAAATCAATCCCAACCTTCCTTTTGTGGTATTGAACCTTATGGTAAAATTTCATAGAGATCCATTAACTTAAACTAAAGTTAGAGTGCGAAAACCAATGTGTCTTCGGACGACGACGACGCCGGATGACGCCAACGTCATACCAATATACCACCACAAAAAATTTTTTGCGGTCGTATAAAAACCACTTAATGTCCAGTTTTTTTCGCCAAAAGAATGTATCACTTAAAATTTAAATAAAATATTTGAAAACCAGCTTTTGTTCATTTTTAATCAACACACCAAACATTTCAATCCGAAGTACATTTTAAAACAGCAAACAGCAAGCAACAATGATTACTAGAAAAGTGTAGAAAAGATACCATTGGGTACTAACAGTCCAAAAACAATGACACATAAAGGAGGGTAGAAATGCCCTTTACCGTCAGGCGTCAAACAGCCATTTTTGGCTACCGTTACATCAAATTGGTTAAAATTTTATTGTGATTCGTCAAAATATCCTTAACGTGATTTGTCAGAGGTCCCAAATAATTAACCGATACTGTTTTTTTTAAAAGAATTTAACGTGAATCGTCAAAATCAGTCAATTTTTTTTATCGTCATGCACCAAAAATTACCGTTAACGTCATTTGGCAAGATTTTTTACCGTTATTCGTCGTGAAGCTACCCCAATTACGACCCTCATATAGAACTATAGTGCATGATTTTGTAAAGTTGTCTTGGCTTACTTAAAATCTCAAAGACAAGTCGACCTTCAGACAGTTTTGGTTATCCTTTAGTATTTTTGATGCTTACAAATTAAAAGTTTATGTATTTTGTTATAACATATGTCATAACAATGATAGCATCATGAACATGGAAACTAGTATCAATGATTTATATTGCATATACTTATGAATTGAATAGAAATTTGCTGTTTTTTTCTGTATTAAAATTTCATGGTTTTTATTCAACCACAAAATCCATGAGTGTTTGTTTCTCTTCAATAATTGTACCTTTGAAGTACAAATGATCCTAAATAAATCATTTAACTATAAATCAATCTTTTCCTTTTTTAATTAATTTACCTTCGTTGTCAATACGGTATGATAAAGAACTTGCAAAATCTGTGTTATTTTCAGCTGCTTCAATACTCCTAGGCGTTGGAAAATCATCAAAGGATTGATGAATTCCTTTTGACTTCACCTTTTTTTTCTTTTTGACCTTATGTGACCTTGGGGTCGTATCTTCCTCCGTTTCGTTGTCAAAAGATAACGTTTTACCTACCACTATATGTTTGCTAGGATTTGTGTCACTATGGAAACTATTTTGATTTTCAGTATAAGGGTTAAGTGTATTCACTTCAATCTTTGAAACAGATTGAACAGAATGCTTTGAAGGTTGAAAAATTTCTCCCATGTCCTCATTTTCTTCAATTTTTTCCTGTAGAGCTTTCAATTTCTTTTTCTTGCGTTTTTTCTTTCCTGTTGGTTGGTCTTCTGATGAAAACTTGGTACCTAATGGTTTCTGAAGGGGAGGTAACCGTGGCGTTGCGCGACGACTTTTCTTAGAGGTTGTGTCAATGTCACTATCCTGTTCAGAATCATAAGGTAATTTGTTTTCACTACTTAGTGTGTTTAAATTTCCATTGTTCATGTGATTTTCATCATTACTTAATCCATTACGTAGACCTAAATATTTCAAAGACCGACTTGACCTTATTTCACCTTCAGATTCATCAAGGTCATTATTAACAGTGTTATTATCATTGGTATCTCGTCCTAACATCTTCAGCTCTAATTCCTTCTTCTTTCTCTTTTCTTCTTTCATTCTTTTTTCCTGTAAGGAAAATTAAACAAATAAATCATGGCATTTCATTGATGTCTCATTTTTTTTATAATAAAAAATAAACATGTTTTTAATCAGGCAATAAAAATTACAAAAGAAATTGGCAATGAATATTCAAAACTTTTTCTGATGACGTTCTACTATAACATGTACAAATACACTACTATATGACTTGAATTTTATGTTGTGTGGTCCTTTTTCATTGATGTATACCCCAACATATCCAGTTATTCATGTTTTTCTACTCAGGTATAAACTCATTTCCACCTGCCCACAGTAGGCAGCACACTTCTTCAATCTCAAATTAATTCGAGATTTATCTAAAAATATTAAATCCAATAGGTTAACCTAAATATTTTTTCTGATATATAGAAGGTTCAATTCATACGAAATGACATGTACTATCAATAGGATAGGCACAGGGAACCAGAAACTTTGCCAACTCCAGTTTGCTCCAGCATTGACAGATGGTAATAACTAAATTTAAGTTTACTGTAGTGTACATCTCATTTTATTGTTAGTTCCCATAAATACACAAAATAATTTTAGTAAAGGCACAATTCAATACTGGTTACAAAAGATGTCTACATGTATAACATGTATAAACAGACAATAGAATAGTATTCCAATGTCCCTTTCCTCAACTTTCATCTCCTATATTCTTAATTTCTAATCAAGTAATGAAAAGGACATGGTAACTTTATTTAATTGTGTATGTCCAATGTGAATAAGTATTTTATATAAGAAAAAATTCAATCAAGAAAAATATCTAAATATTTTAAAATTTGGCTTAAAACTCTTAAAAAATCTGTAGGCCTATCTATCTTATACTAGGTATTTTCGCTCTATGATAAAATTGGTGGGATAAACTTTCCCTATGCATTATATTATTGTTGCTCACTGGGAAAATATACACACAAAAACCACTGACTTGTATTAAGATATAAACAACATAAACCTGATTGAATGACCAGAGAATCGATAACAAATACACGTATACATGTACTACACACTTAAATACACATCATTCAAAGAACATTCAAGGAAAGTGAATAATGTACAACGTTTTTGTGACAATGCAGCATGCTAAAAAAATTTAAGGTTTTGATAATTTTTGTGATGTTATAACAGCATATTTATGCAAATATCCATGTAAATGTGATTTATTTTTCATTTTATTATTATAATTATGTGCAAAATGTTTGGGTTTTGACAACAATCAATATATATCTTTGTTAACATTAATGAACATGTCACCGTTAATTGGGGATATGTGGCTGTGCAATTGATATAAGTTAAATTCCTTCTTTTCATTCAGAAATTTGTATCTCTATTTGGACAGATATGTTTTAGCTTGTACAGTAAACTATCACATATTTTTTCATCCTTTTTATAAGTTAAACCCTATCATCTCATAATCATAAGATATTCAGAATTTCAGTGTACTGTAAATTCAGAATTAATGTGTGCATTTATTACACAGCTGATTACTGCTTAAAATGTGAGATCTATTTAATGCGATTGCAAAAATTTTGTGAATGAAAATCACTACTGAAATTATTAATTCAAGTCTTAATTGGTGCGAATCTAATACTGGCGCATTTTTCTCATTAATAAAAACATCACAATAATTTCTGAATTTATCAAAACTTATAAAATATATTTTTATTCTGAATTATGTTATCTAATATGTATGATACTTATTTCTGTGCGTATAACAAATCTCTCTGTAAAAACCTTCATTTGGAACACTCAAGTCTAAATGTTTGGAAAGAAAATATTTTGATACAAGATTATGGAGCTTCATAACCAAAAAAAAGGCTTTAGCAGTAAAGCCAAAATAATCTGAAGTCACCTTTTGCTTGAGGAAGCTTCATTCTTAATTAAAAATATTAAAAAATCAATAGTTCACACGAAAATTTAGAGAGTGTAGCTAGAACATGCATCAAAGAAAGACAACTCTTGTAAAAAATCATGCAGAGGGAGACAATTTTTCAATGGATCCAAATGGGAAAGAGATCTATGTAGCTTGTAATATTTAAATAAATCCTGATTCCTCTAGCTGTTTGACTTAAAATGTATAAATAAATGCATAAACTTGTCAAAGATATTTTGTGGTCAGTATTGAATTATTCGCTTTGAACAGACAGAAAATTTTAAATTAAACTAAAACCACTTATGATATAATTTCCAGAAAAAAATGCATACATTTGTCAAAGATTTTTGTGGTCAGTATTTAATTTATCAACTTTCAACAGAGGGAAATGTTAAATTAAATAAAAAAAATAGATAACATAAATTCAACCATCGTCCAATTTAAATACAAACAAACAAAAAGTCAACAGCAATCTGCTTCTGTTTGACAAGTTATTCAAGCTACTTGCAGAATTAATCTGTTATGTCATCAAGAGAACTTGATAAGAGTCCACATTATACAAGTAGTTCACCTGCATTTTTTATTGTCCTTTTGCCAACACAATTTAATCTCACATTTTGCAAAAGTTTTGAGTTCAAAATCTTAACTTATTTTTTCTTAAGAAAAATTATTATAATTTTCATGGGTGAGCCAAAAATATAAAACATTTCAGAATCATAAATGTTTCCTTCGAAAATCCGGTTAAAAAAACAAAAAATAGAACAGAATAAAAAAATCCAAGGTCAACATTGCCTGTAATGTCTTATAATGAAAGAAATGGCATGCCCACTACATAGAATGGGGAAAAGGAACTGCCAAGATTAAATGAGAACTGCTTGAAATTACAAATTAGACACTAACTAATTTGTGTTCATTCACTTCCATATGCTATAAGAAAATATCATCAAAGAAACCAGGCTAATTTTGTATGCCAGACACGCCTTTCATCTACAGAAGACTCATCAGTGACATTCCTATCAATAAAGTTAAAAGGCTAAATAAAGTACGAAGTTAAAGAGCATTGATCATGAGAACTCAAAATTCTGAAAGGCAACTTTCATCACTGGCAAAACAAAGTTTATTACAAGCTAAAATATTGGAACTTTTTTCATTTAAAGGAGAAATTTGCATCTATTCTTTTAGCAAACAGCAGTATTGTGCATCACTCTTTAGTTACCATGGTTACACAGCAAACTTAAATACTAACTTTCAAGGGAGATTATCTGCAACAAAAATATTCAAGATAATCAAATCAACTGGTAATGTCGATAAACGATATGGAGGACACAATTTTCAAATGTTGAAGAAAATCCCCCTTGTCTGCAAATATTTAGTAGTAAAAACAACATTCAAAACAAAAAGCTCACTACAACACTAATGTATATGTGTACATACATGTATAAACTGAATATAAATCATAGTGTCAAAATACAAAACAAAGCACTTTTAGTTTTTGAGTCATTTCACAGTTTTCTTATCATTCTAATGATAGTTTAATTGCACGAAGACTGAAAATACAGGCTACTTACAAATAGTTAAATCAGTAATAATTATATTTGTGTATACAACTTATCCATAAACAAATGAAATCTAAGATATTTCCCCAAAGCATTACTTTAAGTGTTAATAAATAGGCAGTTTGCACTATTCTGACTTTCTTAAAAGTTTAAATAAACAAGAAAAGCTGAGCATTCTTTAAAAATTCTTTAATCAATTTTAATCAATATGTCTGCCATAGGCTCATATTCAAAGGATCTTTAAGGACAGTTAAAACTAAATTTTCTTCCCTTCCCTCGCCAATTATAGTCCTTCAAATGCTGTATATCATATTATGTACAAAACAATATCTTTTCCATAATTCTGATATTTTTGTATTCTCCATCATAAAAGATATAAAGTAAGGAGATGTGGTATGAACTATCTATCAAAGACTAAATGACAAGCTTGTAAGCAACTTCAGCAACTACTTGATTTAAGCTTAAAAAAATAAGCAAATATAACATGACAGCAACCAACTACAACCACTGAATTCCTAACTAGTGACAGCTGGCACCTAAAGAATGTGGCAAATATAATGTTATTTTAATATTAACAACTTATATCCTAAAAGAAATTAGTACCTTTTCATTCAGGCTATTAACATCAACACGTTTAAATGGATCACCGTCTAATTGGTCTTCATCGTCACTCACAGGTTTTTCTATCCCTAACCTCTTCCTTTCTTCCTCTTCTTTCTTCTCTCTATCAATGATAAATGACCAAGAACATCTTTCAATACATACTTGAGTGTTAAAAAATTAGGTAGGTGGCAATACTTCTTGACTATAAAAGGTTTATATACATATAATTTTAATCAGTAACTTTGTCATAGTAAATGCTATGAAGAGTTCCACAAATTTTTTTTCATTAACAAAAAAACAAATCTTTTGTATTTAAACTTAGCATGTTATAGTGATGACTTAATGTATCATTCCTCTTATTGGGAAGTGCTGATTTAATATTTGTTAAGTTCACTTCACCATAAAAATTCATCAAAAATTAAGTAATCTGTACACACTGAAGACACTACAATTATGCATCAGTATGAAATATTAAATAAAGCTTTGTAAAATTTTGTAAAAATCAATGAAGAAAATTGCAATTTAAATGAAACGAATAATGTCAATGTCATGAATATTAATTATTTATTATTATAATGTTGTTATCAACCACTTGAACTTGTTAAGTCATAATTCATAAAATACAGAAACACATTAAGTTTTAGGCATTTTTATTAGAATTTGATGGGTAGTAGTTATTTTAGAAAGATAGCTTGAACAATTAAAGGGAGAAAAAAATGCATTGCTGGGTGAAATTAAAAGTGATTCCCCAATACGTTTTTTTCTGGAACAGCCCTTATAAGGAGAGGCTATAAAGAGCCTGTGTCTCTCACCTAGGTCTTTGTGCTTTTTCAACAATGGACACTCTCTAACATTGATGAATAGAATATAATTCATGACTTAATTTCTGTTTATTGTTGATCTTTTATTGCTGATAATTTTTTTCTGTTTACAGTTTCTCTCTATCTTTTACTTTTTGCCCAATACACAAAGAAGGGTAAAAATCTTCATTTAAGGACAATAAGTTGAATGACTGCTATAAAAAGAAAACTGACAATTTTATCTATGCTGACCTATTTTTTGTGAAAAATATACACAAATAGGTTTTGCAAAAATCAAACCTTGAATTTAAATTTTGATATTATTACTTTTATATAGCATTTCCTGAAATCACAATAATCTCAAATGTTCTTGTTTGTTCAACAATTGAATAATAAGTGCATGCAAAATTTTTGAATTTACAGTATTCTATAATAGGTTTCACTGTACCTTTCTTCTCTTATCTTGCGTACCCTTTCCCTCTTTTCAGCTAGTTCCTTCTGTTTCTTTGCAGCCTCGACCTCCATATCCTTTTCCACGCGAGGTTGGTATACAAGCCAGTTATGCTCTAACGTGGCACACATCCATTTCAGTCCAACTTTTATATTATTATCAATCTTTTTACCAGTACCTTTAAGAGCTGAACATGTTTCCTAATTAAAGCAGAAAATATTTTATACAGGTCAAAGAAATGTGTTTTGATTTAATTAATGTTATTTGAAATGGGAAGGACTTTTTTCAGGATGTCGGGTTTGGGCCTATATGTTTGCAGGAATTCAGAATTAAAATTAATCAGTACTCTGGAATTAATGATTTATCTTTCGGAATCAGGTAAAGAATGTTTTTCTTTTCCGGAAATCAGGATGACATCCACCTCCTTCTCCCCCTGTTATTTGATTTTACGTACCGCTGACTGTAGAAGGGGGCAATATGTTCTGTGTCATATGTTCAGTTTCAGGTTTAAGTTTTTGAAGGTAGTTTACAATCATGTACATCAACTTGAATATTAGAACACAATGATATGTTCATTTTAATGCGAATTTTTAAAGCTAGAACTGTACGCTGGACTGTGCATCTCTATTAAATCCAACATCTTACTATGAAATAAAAACTTTGAGGAATTAGCTCTTGTAAATTGTTAATTTCTTGGACTTGAACAGTAACCGTGCCCTACAAGTACTATAAACTGTAATCTACTGTCAACGTAGAAGTTTTGTGAAGTTTTTATCATTGCAAAAATTGCAACGGTATACAATGTAGGTTTGGCAAGCAAAAAATGTGCATGTCATATTTTAATAGCATTATTTGTATGCACCAATTTCTGAAATCCCAATTAATCTGGCAATTGTTCAAAAATGGCACACAAAATTTCTGAACTAACATATACAGTAAATCATTTTTCACAGACTTTTTCTGAGTTTAGCACTTTCCAGCTGACTTAGCGATAACATTTTTTTTTTTTTTATGTATTCAGATATGAGAAGATTCAAGTACATGTTATATTCTCAGTGATTTATATCAATATATTTTTCTACTCACAAAAATCACATAAATATATATATTGCTCTAAAAAATTAGTCAGCTGTAATATACTCACAATTCTACAAGGACATTTATTAGCATTTACTAAATCTTCTAAGCCAAGTTGGTCACATATATCAACTTCATCCATGGCATTTTGGTGGTCTTGCTTATTGGCAAGTCTACAAATATACATTGACATATAATTAAGAAATGTTATGTATTTCATTGGAATGGATATCACCAAAAGTCAACAACAAGATTGAATGAATCAAACAGTTAAATCATATATATATTATATTAAAATTATTTTCTACTTGCAAAAATCATATAAACATGTATATATATTGCTCTAAAAAATTATTCAGCTGTAATATACTCACAAATCTACAAGGACATTATATCTCTTGTGGAGAGTTGTCTCATTGGCAATCATACCACATCTTCTTATTTTTATAAAGCATAGTATTTCACTTAAAGATCACTGCTGCTGGTGTTGAGTGAATTACGGTGAAAAAAGGTGATTTATAGTAATCACACTCTGAGTATGACCCTGGTATATGTTATCTATTGAATATACAGAGAACAGGTGGTACCTTAAGAGCACAATACTCTATATGAGATAAACTAGGTGACTCATAATAAAAAAATCTCTAGATTCTCAATCCTCCAGTCACCTCATCCAAATTTTTTCAGAACAACAAAAAATCTTATTTAGATTTTCGCTATTTTCTTTTATTCTTGTTAGAATTTTTTTTTTTTAATGGCCAAAAACTTTTAAAACATTGTCTTAAAGAATAGAAAATTAAGATGTTTTCTAAGGCTTAAGTGATTTCAGAATGTTTTTTTAGCTGGCAGTCATGAATTCTCACCAAAATGTACTTTTTTTCATTCAAATGTAGTCGTCTAGAAATTTTAGCTGACCCATACTCCTCGGTGAGACAGTCTCTATAGTCTCATGATCATATCCTTGATTTGAGAGATTTTTACTGATTCAGACAATCCTCATAGAGCCTTGATATCTTATCGATGCATGTCAAATTTCTTCTGTGGTACTGCATAGATGCTGAATACTGTGACAGAATGATCAAGTATCCAAATATAAAGGCTGACTGTAAGATGTCGTTTAGATTTTGGCATCTTTTGGTTGCTACATTTATATCATTGACAATACCTCACATCTACAAATGTACTTTAAGTCATCATCAAATAAGTTAACTTACAGTAGTATGGGTTTCCCTGCTACTTTATCGTCTTCTAGTAATCCTTTCAAGACCACTTTTGCCTCCTCGATTCTCTCTGGCGTAGAAGAATCCACCACGAAAATAACTCCATAAACTTCTACAAAATATTCCTTCCATATCCTCCTGATGTTTTTCCCACCACCCAAATCAAAGATTTTTATTTCATAATGGTCCAAAGTCAGACTTTCACTTGTAAAACCAACTGTTGGTGTTGTGTCATGGTGGGTCTCTGAAAAAAGAAAGAAGGTCCAGTTTCAGACTCTCACTTGTAACCTTAACTGTTTTGGCTATACATTGTATCTCTGAAAAAAATTCAATACCAGGTAAATTTGATTTTCAAAAGTCCAATTCAAGACTTGTAAGCTCAAAATTTATTGGGTCATCATTGGCATCTGACAGAAGAAATAAACACTAATATACATAAAAATGCAAGCATGCATGTCATCTTGTGCTACTTTTGTTGGACAGGTAAAAATAAGGCACCAAGAAGAAAAATTGGTCTCATTTTATTGCTTTATCATATTTCAATTTTGGCATATATGTACTTTATCAGAGAAGCCAATTTATTTTGTTTCAAACTACTGTAGATTCATTATTATTCGTTGGAGACCAATTTTAGTGGGTTTCGTGGGTACAGGGGAACCACAAATTCAAACGTTCAAATAATTACAAATTTTCTATAGGCTTTGTATGCAGAGTTTGGCAAAACCACGAAATCAAATATCCACAAATATGCAAGTTTTCCTCAATCCATGAAAACTGATACCCACAAAAATAAATGAATCCACAGTATGCTTTTATCACAATTGAAATGGTTTTAAATGGGTTAAAATGGTTATAAATGTATCTGCAAATAAACATGTCATAAATGTAATAAAACATACAAAGAAGAAATGTTTACTTTTATTCAATGATTCAATGCTAATATTTACTTTCATCAATTTATTTTTTACATTCAAACAATTTAACAGAACTGCAGATACTTTGAATTCTAAATACACATGTATGACAATGAGGAAGAGAAAATCAATCTTATCTCTTGAACAAAATCAATAAGTTCAGACAGAGGTGTTCATAAAAGGGGGAGGGGTATGTCATGGGTGTACAACATGTACAATAAACATGACAGAATGTGAGAAAAAAAGTTTCTTGATTTAATAAAGTACAATGTACAGTTATTCCCAGGAACAAAAATGAAATAAGCATAATTTCTAGCATTTTTTTCCAATTTGGCACAAAACAGGGTAAATTATACATGTGACTTTCACCAAAAGGACACATGAAAAAAACAATAAAATATAGATTATGCTTATTGCTAAAATATCGTTAATATTTTTCCAATATTTGATCTCGCAGAAAAAATCACACAACTTTGTCAAGATGTTATTTCAAATGCTTTCTTATATGACAGTATGCAAACTTAACATTTACAATTGACATTCAAAATACTCATGAATTCCAAACTTATGTTTCAAACTTCATTTTTGTTTAGTTTTGGTATTTTAATTTATAACAGATCAATATGAATGTAAAGAAGAGTTTTTTATATGCAAATCTAAATGCTATCAGAAAGTGAATATATAATTAGTATCATATTAGAACAAGCTTTGAATGTTGTTAGCCTGGCATCTATTGATGATTTAACATGTTTAATGTAATTCTTCTAAATTCTAATAAGATACAATTCTAAATAAAGCCATTAACCATGTTAACAGAGAAGGGGCATTGAAGCCAGTTTTTGGCACAAGAAAATAAAGGTTTTAAAAACTATTTTAAATTTACACATTATGTTTGAATATATGTAAACAATGTATGCTGTCAATATAAATGAATTACTGTGGATTCATTGTTATTCGTTGGATACCAATTATCGTGGATTTCGTGGGTACAGATTAACCACAAATTCAAATGTTCAACGAATTGCAAATTTCCTATAGGCTTGTTACAGACTTCAGCAAAACCACAAAATTAAATATCCACGAACATGTAAGTTTTCCTTAATCCACGAAAATTGGTACCCACGAAAATAAACGAATCCACTGTACACAGGAATTTTTATAATACTTTGCGTCATAATATGCACCGTTTTCATGTAAATGAAGAAACTGCTCAATATATGCAGTTTTCCATCCATACATTTTGTATTTCCTTTGTGGGAACATTAATAATATATTGCGCACAGCCAAGAAACAACAAAATAATGTATAAAAATTGCTTTATTATAAATCATAAGCTATTAACATAATCTCATAAAAAATAAAGTTGATTCTGGTGTGCCCACATACTTTTCCAATGCAATACAAACCTTTAAGTTGATGTATGTAAAACAAGGAAATTTGTGAAATTTTAACAAAAATTATGCAAATTTGGTCATGGTCTGTTGCCATCGTGTAACTTAATAAATGTGATTTTTTTTTTTTTTTTCTAAACACCTTGTTCCTTAGTATACATAAAGTTAGGACCAATTCAAGAACATGCCTGCTAACTTTTTCATTTGCATTAGTACTTGGACCAAATAAACGCCTTATTGCCCTTACCATGCTTACTCCTATTAACAATGTTATCCTTCCACAATAGGATATAATGATTTATTTAGATAATTTTTAAATTTAATTATGTTACATACATTGTATATAGTAAGAAACATTTAAATCTTACTTGACATGTGCTTGAGAATTATTCAGTATGAAAAAATGTATCTCACCTGAAATTTCAACAGTTGCAGCTACATGTACATTGTAAATGAATCTGTTTAATATCTTCTTGTAGCACAAAGGAAACATTATTCACTTCAACCCTCAATTTTTTGCTTTAGTCCTTTCAATTGTTAAACAAGTTGTCATGTGACTACATTATTTCATTCTGTGCACACAGAATATTGGAAGTTTATTTAAGCATACCATTTCAATGACCTGCATATATATACATGATATACATGTACATTGTATTGATGAGATTTTGCTCCTCATCCAATCTAATGCAAATAACATGAATGAAGGGCATATTAACCAATGTACATTAAGGGTACATGTACGTGATTACAAGTACTGTTCATGCTGTTAGGAAATAATGTGAGAATGCAATATCTTGTTCAAAGTGAAAGTCTCTCTGTGAAAATCAAAAAAATGGTGGCCGTGAGTTGATGGTTTCTGCTACAGGAGGTATGAACAAGTATGTACTTGAATAACATGTATAAGGAATCGAAGGATGTCTGATTTATCTTCTTGAACGGATCTATTAGATTTATGGACAGAAACTTATTGCCCTGAGACTTGGACGACAATTTCCATTTTTTCTATATCATATATATGGACTGTGCTCTGATATCCAACAGCTCAGCAAGTCCTAAAAAAGGCTGTCAGACATCAGAGCAATCTCAGACTAACATTACACCAACATATATATATACTAACCTCCAAGTAAAGCTTTTGTGGCAGTAGTTTTCCCTGCATTGTCCAGACCCAAGATAGCTAATGTTACCTCCCTGTAAAACAGAAAGTCAATTATAATTAATTCACCCTTTAAACATGTACTACATGTATATGTATGCTTAAATTATAAATTTAATATTTCTACAGTGTAGATATTAACATGATTAATAACCCCATAATCCATGTAATTTAATATGTTTAAGTATTTCTAGATGTGCTACATGTATATCTCAAGATTTGTTTGTGTACTTAGGTTGCTGCCTCAGTTAAATATATCCAGCATGTACAATGTACATTTTGTACCTTTATTCACAATAGACACTCATCAAATGTTTAATACAAACAAAAATTAATTAGATTTTAATGCATGTTATCGCTATTTTGCGTCTTTTTTCTTTTTTTGTGATAATTTTTCATATCATGCTACTCTCTTGAGAGAACACACGCTATTGTAAATGTAACCATCAAGGATGTCACAGGCAATATAGCATTAAACACATTATCAATGGTCTTTCAAACTCGAGGATGTTTCTTGGCCACATCTCATCTCAGGGCTGTTGCACATCGATGAGATTGTAGCTGAGAAACACCCTCTCTTTTGAAAAACCATCGATAATCTATAAATATACATTTTGGTACACTGTTTACGTGATTAGTTTCTTGGCTAGGTTCTCATTGAGGATAGATATGAGGTGTAGCTGAGAGACTTCCTGGAGTTTAAACGACCATTAATACATACTGGTAGTTTGTTTAATCCTATTTTCCTACAGAACATCAATACATACATGTAGGCTTATGATGTCACAAAATAAAATATAAATACATTGTACATGTACCTCGTACAACATGGCATTTTTTTTTTTAATATTACTTCAAAAGGTTAATTTCCATTAAAACACTCACCTTCTTGGCTGGGTTTTTCTTTTGAGGCATGAAAAACATTTCCCCATCAGGCTAATCATTTAATGTAAATTCAGGAAGAAAATACAAATAATTTCTGTTAAAAACTTGTTAGAACTTGATGATAAAAACCAGGTATTAATTCAAGTTAATGTAATTAAATTAATGTAATTAATCTGCTGTCAAGTCTGGGTTGATTAAATAGTACTGCAGGATTCAATATCGTAAAATTATATTGGTTAAAAACAAATGTTTTCTGTACACAATATTATATCATCTTTGTATTGTCATAATTTGATCTCATGAAAATAAAAACCATGTACTTTTCTCCTTGTTACAGACTAAAAATAAATGAAATTGAATATATCCCGTCCTTTAAAATGTCCATTCCCATATTCTTCACAAGAAAATGTTGAGATATTTGAATCCATATGCTGAAATTAGGCAATATCTAACACATTCTTAAAATTTTCCTTCCCATCGTAAAAGTGTCCGCCATGATGACAACAATCCGGTTGTTTACGTGAGATGGCGCATCACTAAGAAACATAGAAACGCGCCATATTTGTAACAGGTGCGCGGGATGGAAATATTTTCAGTCATGATAATGAAAGAACATTAAATTATTTTTTTTGATATTTCATCTAAGTTTCTTTGAACATTATTAAAATCAGAAAATTATTAAGTATAATGATTTAATTTTCTGCAATGAATGTAACAGTGCGATGGCCGAGTGGTTAAGGCGTTGGACTTAAGTTCCAATGGAAGTATTTCCGCGTGGGTTCGAACCCCACTCGCACTAACGTTTATTTTTCGTTTTTATATTTGAATTAATTATGGTCCGACGGTGACTGATCAAATGTGCATACAATTTGCGTGTTATAGTCGATTTTACTGTGGTTGAGTGATAAAAAAGATTATCATTGGACATTGAGAAACTTTAAGGTGAAAAATAACATGCCGTCTAACAGACAAGACCACGACCAAAAAGGAAAACGACGAAAAGACACACTGTCAAACAATAGTCTACAAAACGTATGCGCTTGTCCATATGATATAACAATAACAGCAGTTTATAAATTTCGGCCCTCTATTATTATTTCCAATGCATATTTACTAATAGATAATAGAGGGTCAACATTTACTTTCAATTGTGCGACATAATAGTAAAAGGCACAATATGAAAATATCAAGCTCACTTTTCGGATTGCAGAATTTTTATTTGAAATTCCATCGATTTTATTTCCTTTGTAAAGGTTCGAACCCTTTACAGACACAATTAAGTTATACATGCAGTCAGCAAGTGCCAGACCTCGCACCAACACTGTAGCAGACTGGGACTAATAATTATACTATACTAGTGTCAGTAGTAGGTGAATAAATCTTCCAAAAAAGTGCACAAAAATACGATATTCATTAAGATAGAAAGATATGAGATAACTAAAGTAGCAACAAAATTCATAACAAACGGTAATATCCGGCATTTTCTATGACACAGGCTGTATGGCTACCTATTTAAGACATAGAAAAGGCGGTATCTGGTTTTAATGAGCTATCAGATTCAGATTCAATATTTTATTAAAGTCTCACCACTTGTAATACATGTAATACAATTATCATAATATATACATTGTATGATATTGTATAAAACAGTAATTTTATAAGTTAAAATACAAGTGCCATTATATAAAGAATTATGAGAGACTATTATAGAAATTAAAATAAATTATAACTATATATATATCATGTCTATAAAACATTTCCGTTCTGTAAAAACATATAACTACATTTGTCATGTCTATAAATATTTCAGTTCTGTAAAACATAACTATCAATCAGGGACTTTCTATACTAAGTTAGTATAGAAAGTCCCTGTATCATCAATCAAGCATATAAAAAACTATTTCTTCTACTTAAAATATCAAAGCTGGTCTTGGCAACCACCTCAAAATCAATCATTACTTTTAAAAAAGATATATAAACTTGTCATCATCAGATAAAATATTAAAATCACTATTACTTCTTTTAACTTCGTAAAATAAACATTCATGCAAATATGCATATAAAGGACAGTCTCAAATAAAACATGGTTCTCATCTTCAATTTTATCATAACAAACTAAGCAAACTTGTTCATTTACAGGTTTGTTTTCATAGCAACCTGTTTCTATTCGCAATGGGGCAACACCACACCTTATTTTGCAGATGCACTTCTGTATCGACTTAAAATTTTCTTCCTCAAATACATCTCTGTTTCAAAAATATCTTTTAACAATTCATAAGTCCATATTTTTTTCCAACATTTTGTGATAATATTCTATTATGCCAATTTACCTTAAAATTTTCAAATAAAAAATCTTCTAACTGTGTTATAACATTTTTATGCAACGCATTATCTAAATTAGTGTATAAATCTAAATTTCTTTCTCCAAATTTTGTCATAATTCTGCTACACCAGTTTTTCTTTTTATAAATAGCATTTTCTAAAAGCCCATCGAAATACTTTATAATTCACTCTATCTGTTGACATAGCATTACATCTAGCCCAATGTGTAAAACCACAACTTCACTGCTTAACACATGGAGGTTTCCAACCCATATCCCCATTAATGGCGTCACTAGATGTATATCTAGCAAGACCCATAAAAAAACGGATAGCTCTGTGCTGAACAGCGTTAATGCAAGAAAAATCTCTAGGGCCCCAGATGGCTGCACCATAACTTATAACTGACCAGACTAAGCTATCAACAAGTTTGGTATATGTATTAAAGCGGAAACCTTCATGTGCTTTACTCTTTACAATTAGTAAACTTAATGCTATCCCTGCTGACCTGGCTACAGCTTTCGCCATCTCATTATAATCAAGAAATTCGGTCAATAATAAGCCGAGATATTGATATTTTGATACAATAAAATTGAGAATGGAAATGGGGAATATGTCAAAAAGACAACAACCCGACCAAAGAGCAGATAACATCCGAAGGCCACCAATGGGTCTTCAACGCTGTGAGAAAATCCCGCACCCGGAGGTGGCCCCTACATAAAATTGTGTACTGGTTCAGTGAAAATGGACGTCACACTAAACTCCAAAACATATAAAGGAACTAAAATTAAAAAAACATACAAGACTAACAAAGGCCAGAGGCTCCTGACTTGGGACAGGCGCAAAAATGCGACGGGGTTAAACATGTTTTGTGAGATCTCAATCCACAATACACAACCCACAATACACAAGTGTTTTTCACCAAATAAAAGTATTACATACCGAACTTAAATTTGTTCGTTTCGACTAAGAGTTTGATTATCCCTGTGTCTTTAGTTTTCTATGTTGTGTTTTGTGAAATGTTTGTCTTTTCGTCGTTTTTCGTTTGTTGCCATGGCGTTGCCAGTTTGTTTTCGACTTATGAGTTTGAATATCCATTTGGTATCTTTCGCCTCTCTTTTAAAATAGTTCGTATAATTCTGAAACCATTAAGTATTCGGTACTTTATCGTATTAAAAAAAATTCTATACTGTTATGAATTTTCATTCCTGAAAAAAATTCAGAATGGAAACATTAAAACATTTGAAATATAAATCGACATTTTTAACAAAAATAAGTGAGGTGATAAAGCGATGAATATTTGTTTTTATTTATATATTTTCCATGCGTTCGATCCCATTTGTTTATAAACTTTGTCATAACTGCTGTAAAATTGTTTGGTGTATTAACTGTTTTCTTTCAGAATCGATTAAATATTATCTTATTTCAACTTTTGTTTACCTTTTCTTTCATCACAGTTTTTTTCCTCACACTTGCGCTGCGCGGTTGCCTTCATATGGAAAACATTCGGTCAAGTAGAGTACGGGAAGACAACAATTCAATAGCAGAAAGTAAAAAAAAACAAAAATACCGAACTCCAAGGAAAATTCAAAACTTAAAGTCCCTTAGCAGTACATTTCTTAAGATTTGGATAAAAAGAAACACACGTACAAATGTTTCATAGTAAAACGTAGTCATTGAATTATATAAAACATATTCACGTTTTTTAATTAAGAGTATCTTATGACTTAAAATCAGGGATTTCGTTAACACACATTACCTAAAAATCATTTCACTTTTGTCATGTCGGGTCCTTTTACAGCTGACTGTATAATGTATATATATACCGTTCGTTGACCTATAATTGCAGAAATTCTTGTCATATTAGACTCTGTATGGTAGTTGTTTCATTGGCAATCTTACCCCCGTCTCCCCTTTTATATTATGTACAAAATGTCAGTGTCAGTGATCATAATTTGGCTATTCCATCGAACCTGTCATGAATAAATGCGAATGCTTTTTTGTTTGTTTGAAATGCATATTGCAATACTGTCGTAATTGTTTTCACATGAGAAAAGTATAGCATTAATGATTTTTTTCATATAAAAACATATCGCTATTCTATTAAAAAAATATCGCACTCATATAAGAAAATATAGTCTTATCAATCTATTACACGTGATAATTGCTTACAATGCAATTGAACACATTGAAAGTGCATTCCACTGTCTTTGCTACACGATTGTCTTAGTATATGTACACGTCAAAATTATAGATGGTACAAATAGGTTTCATTTAATCCAATTTGCTTATTTTCTCGTATAAACACAAAATTCTTGGAATTATATGTATACAATGCATGGGAACTTATACGGACGTTTGTCCTGTTATAGACGTCCTTGTTTTAAAAAAGGAAAAACAATTATTACCGGAAAATCTTCCTTTTTCTGCTATTTTCCCACAATGCATCTCGTTTACAAAAGAAAATATCGATAATCTATTATATAAGAAACTTTTTTTTTCGATTCACACTTTCCTTAGACTGTTACTGTATATCAAATACTTACGGAAGAATTTGTAAAAATACTTGACCAGAGGCTATGTTCGTTGTTGTTTGTCTCTGTAAGTACGTTCAGTTTTTAGGTGTTTTTGGTTGGTGTTGCTTGTTGTACTGTCAAATATCTTTGGTAATTCCTGTTACACTTTTCATATATTATTCATCATTTTCAAATTCAATTTATGTTCCTTCCAAGAGATATCTGTTATCGACGAATTTCTCTTAACAAAAAAAAAAATATCATCTTGCAATGTTCTTTAATCCCGGATTAGCTTTCAAATTTTATTGATGGCGTCCTGTCACTCATTAACACTCATTTTTTTAATTTTTTTCCTCGATATTGACTCAAATTAGAACTAGAATCTAGGACGTGAGGATTTCAACTTTCCAATTGCCAACTTCCCATTTCTCAGCAGTAACATACTCTGTGTCCCATCTTATGGCGTTTACATATCTTAATAAATACGTTTATACGTTCGTGCATGTCAGAGTCATACTATACGGACTTCATCAACAGGGGATGTGCTCCTTACACAAAAACTGTGTCAACAGAGATATGAAGAAGAACGACTGAAATCCACACTACATAAGTTTAACAGTCACCATCACGAATTGGTTGACCAATACGACGTGGCTGTGCACATGTATCAACTCACTAGCCACAT